CGAAAGGGGTTTCAGGAGGGAGCCCCTTAGCGTTGTGTCAAGGGCTCCCAGGTGCGAGGCAGGCCAGCCTCTAGCTGTGCCACAAAGAGCAGGGTGCTCCTCCTGGCTGTGACAGGTGTGGCAAGTTCCCGCAGGTGAGGAGTAGAGGGGGCACTCTCCACAGCCCTCTCTGCCCTCAGGCTCTCAGGGTGCACTCTCACAGGCTGGCCGGGAGAGGCCAAGTCAACGTCTGGGGGAAAACAGGACATGGTCTGCAGCCACGATTCTCTTCACAAACTCTGCATCCCCGCATCTGTGAAGGACAAGCACAGTGAAAAGCGCCCAGTCCTCCCGACTTCCTTGAGAAAACCCAGCAGGCTATTTGCACTCTGTGATTTTTGGCTTAACACAGACTTTCCCAAACAACCAAGTGAAAGATAAGGTCGGAGGACAGGCTCTGGAGTTGGGAGCCACCCCCCTCACACTGAGTCTGTCCCCTGCCCTAACAGCCAGGAACCCAAGGCCCTGCCAGGGAGGAAGCAGAGCAGGGCCATGGGGATGAGCCCTGAGGAGCAGGTCCCCAGGGGAGCTTGGTCATTCAGGGGACAGGAAAGAACATGGACAGGAACTAAGCCAGTCACAAAGGTACGGGGAAGAAAAAGAAGAGGAAGACGACCTGGCTGGACCCACGCTGCGGGGAGCAGGCGAGGGGAGCAGACGGAGGGGAGCAGGCGGAGGGGAGCAGACGGAGGGGAGGCAGGCCTTGGGAAGAAATGGGAAGAAAGAGACACTCGCTCATCAGGGCAAAGTGCTCAGCTGACCAGAACATGGAGGCTCTAGGAGGCTTTCCACCCAGTGCTGTCAGAAGTCCCAGGGGCTACCTAAAAGGAGAAGCAGTCACCTTTCAGAGCATCTAGGACTTGTCAGGCCCTGGCTCTTCACAGTATTTCCTATAATGTTACCTCACTTGTCACTAAACCCCAGAACCCCTAACAAGCTAATATCAGGACAGACTATGACCCCAGGTTCATCTCAAGTCAAGCATTTATTGAGTACCTACTATGGCAAGCATTTATTGAGCACCTACTGTGTGTCAGCCAACATGCTAGGTGCACAGAGCTGACCCCTTTCCTCCTTCCCATAAGCTTCCGGTTCTGCCTGCTCCCAGCTTTTCACCCAGCTGCCACCACCACTCCATCTCCAGGAGCTCTCTTCCCTCCAGGCACCCCACTGTACCCCTTTCCTGTTGTTTCTACCAGCAATTTCTATTTTAATGATTTTTCCCACTAAGCACTACGAGAAACCTATGAGGGAACAAAGCTACCATCAGAAAGAAGTTCTAGCAAGCAGAGTTCTAATCTGTTCCTGTCTTCCTGCAGAGAAAAAGGGGC